GGCCAAACAGTTACCATGGAATTACGATGGACTGAAGGGCAGGGTCCCAGGCCAGGGTGTGTGTGTGCACAGGAAGGGTCCCCTAAACCTGCTGGGGAGGCCAGGAAGGCCTCTGTCAGGAAGCGGCATCTCAACAGGTTAATCCAGAGGGGTTGGTGGCGATTAGCCAGGAAGAGTCTGGCCGCCCTACAAGCACTTAGACTCACATCAATGTGAACTGCAGACTGTAGGGCAGGAGTTGGGGTGAAGGGAAGTGGCAGGATTTGAGACACATCCTAGAGGTCGGATGGCCAGAGTTGGTGACAAGATGCTCAGAACACAGGCCAGGAATGGTGGCTCACGCCTGTAATCCCAGCACTTTCGGGGGCCGAGGCGAGTGGATCATCTGAGGTCAGGAGTTTGAGACCAGCCTGGCCAACATGGTGAAACCTCATCTCTACTAAAAATACAAAAATTAGCCAGGTGTGGTGGCGCATGCCTGTAATCCCAGCTACTTGGGAGGCTGAGGCATGAGAACTGCTTGAACCCAGAAGGCAGAGGTTGCAGTGTGCTGAGATCATACCATCACACTCCAGCCTGGGTGGCAGAGTGAGACCCCGTCTCAGGAAAAGCAAAAAGCTCAGAACATGAGCAGCAAGGTGGGAGGTGATGCTACCCACCAAAAGAAGGCAGGCAGTAAGAAGACGGCTTCTGCCAGACACATCGGGTGGGTGCCCGCCAGTCATCCCAATGGGAAAGTCCAGGCGGCAGTTGGATATGCAGCCTGGCACTCAGGAGTGAGACCTGGACCATGGACAAAGCTCTAAGAGTCACCAATGCAACCCTTGGTGAACTCTGCTGCTGAGGACCCAGTGAGAGTGGTGGGAATTTGGGTCCATTGACTCCTTCAGTCATTCAGTATGCCCCACCTGCTGCATGCCAGGCTCTGGGCAAAGAGCCACAATGCAAAGCCCTATCCTCACGGAGCTGTCACTCTAATGAGACCCAGAGATAAGCAATGAGGAAATGCACAAATAAATAAAACTTCAGAAAGGGGAAGCAGGTGGGAGCTGGTTTGGTCAAGTGCCTGTCACTCCTGGGTTGGCTCCGCTGCTCCTGGGGCCAGCTTGGCGGCTTGCCCTGTGATCCAGGAGCAGGGCTGTGCGGCACATAGCTGGAATGCCTGTTGCATTATTCCCAAGGGCTTCCTCCTTTTTCCTGTGACAGTGTGAGTTGCTGTCTCTTGCAACTAGCAGAACTTACTGCACCCTACTAATGTTTCTGGGTTCCACTGGATTAAGGCCTGAAGTATGCAGACAGTTAAGGCATCCTGACTCCCCCGACTGAGTGACTGTCAGTAAATGCATCATTGCTATTGACCGGGCCCTTCCTGTAAGCCTCAGCCACAGAATGATTGCATCTGAGCAATAATCAGACTTCAAAACACAGGGAGAGTGCTCTGAGCACCATTCCTGCTTTGCAAGTAACTTGTTAGATCTGGCAGATCACAGCATTTGTAAGAAATACCTGGGAGGCGGTGGGTGAAAGTGATCTATGTGGAATGTAGATGTATTTTGATTGACTTTTAGTATTACAGAAGACATCAAACATTCTTTGCTCCCGCCATTCATCAATTTAAACTGCAAACTTCAATTCTCTGGCCAGAAATAAAAATTGTGAAGAATAGCACCAATATAGGAAAATGCTTACGGTAATAATAAGAATCATAACATTAAGCGAGAAAGGCAGAATACCTATGCTGTGATCGAAATTCTATAAAATTTGCACATGTACATGGACAAGGTCGGCTCAGGTAAAGAGGAAACATTGATGAGAAAAACGGTCTTTTTTTCTACGGGAAATTCACACAGAACGTAACTGCGGAGAAAGAAACCGAGCAATGTTTTAAAGTGGCTGCCCAGTTGGAAAATTTCACTAGGGAAAAACTGAGGTGCAAATTTGACTTTTGGAAAAGAGATTACAGGTTATTTAGAAAACAGCAGCTAGGTGGGGCGCGGTGGCTCACACCTACAATCCTAGCACTTTGGGAGGCTGAGGCAGGCGTATCCCCTGAGGTCAGGAGCTCGAGACCAGCCTGGCCAACATGGTGAAACCCCGTCTCTACTAAAGTACAAAAATTAGCTGGGTGTGGTGACGGGCACCTGTAATCACAGCTATGTGGGAGGCTGAGGCAGGAGAATTGCTTGAACCCGGGAGGTGGAGGTTGCAGTGAGCCAAGATTGCACCACTGCGCTCCAGCCTGTGTGACAGAGCGGGACTCTGTCTCAGAAAAAAAAAAAAAAAAAGAAAGAAAGAAAGAAAGAAAGAAAGAAAAGAGATTACATATTATTTAGAAAACAGCAGCTAAAGAGTCTTTGGGTCTCTGGCAAAGATGAAGTGAGCCAGTCTTCTTTCGACTAAGTCACCAACTGGACAAGGTTCTCAGCTGGAAAACACTCCCTTCTGGGATCCTGCTCCCAGAAGTGGTAGCAAGAACTTCTGGGAATAGAACGGGGCAGAACCTTCCTGAGCCCAAGGAACCAACAAAAAGTCAGAGAATGAACTCTTTCGAAACACAAAATGAAATTTCTCAAAGCCCAGGTCACGCTTTTTCTGTAAATTCTTTATCCCTCTGTCAGTAAGGACATGACATAGTCCAGAGAGAAAATTCTCAGCCACTACCTTACGCACAAGAAAATGCCAGCGATGCCCAACCCACCAGGCTGCTGATGCCCGAGGGACAGTGCTCTTGAGGCAGAAGAATAGGGTCTGCAGGTAGGGAACCGAAGGCCGATTCACCCTGACTTCCTAGAACTAAATCGAAGGGAAAACCCCCACTTTCCACGCCTAAGTAACAAAAGGACCACCGGCTACTTCCTTTGCAAACCCCAATCTTTTCTGCCCTGCAGATGGGAAATTGGTTGCCTTCTGCAACCAATCAGATGTTTGCATATAAGTGAAACTTTGTAACTTCAGCCTCTGATTGGTTGCAACCAATCAGACTGATTGCAGGGCCAAGTCTTCGTTTGCATAGAAGTGCAACTTTGTAACTTCACTTTAGCCTCTGATTGCTTTCTTTCCACAACCAATCAAGATGTTTGCACAGGAGTGTGACCTTTGTAACTTCACTTCAGCCTCTGGTTGGTTGCTTTCTGCAACTGATCAGACTGATTGTGGGCCAGCACTTCATTTACATGGGGTGAACACCAATTGGCCAATGGGAAACCTCCAGAAGTTATTTGGACCCAAGAAAATCTGTATCTGGGCCCTTGAGCGGCTGCTCAGCCCACTCCCACCCTGTGGAGTGTACTTTCATTTTCAGTAAGTATCTGCTTTTGTTGCTTCATTCTTTCCTAGCTTTGCGCATTTTGTCCAATTCATTGCTCAAAACACCAAGAACCTGGACACCCTCCAGCGGTAACACTGATCCATTTTACTGTGAAGGAGCCTCTTCGTGAGGCTCAGTCAGGCTCTTCAAGGAACTCCTAGTCAGATACAAACTCTCATAGAAAACCAAAAGGCTAGAATTTGGAGCTAATAACTAGATAAGCTCCCAAGACAGCAAAAGTTTAGAACAAAGCAAACCATTCTCTATGGTTAGGCTGTTCCCTGACCCTGTTCCATTTTACAGATGAAAACACTGAAGTTCAGAGAGGAAAACGAATGTCATCCAGGGAAGGAGAATCTGGGTCTCCCAACTCCCTGTCCGAAGTGTTTGGTGTGACCTCTATTAATCCCAGCTCCAAGAGGGGACAGCAAAGCCCGTGGTGGACCTGAATTAGAACACAAGTACAGGTACAAAGGAGACCTGAGTCTGCCTCGCTCTGTTAATGTAGCTCTAATGACGTCAATGATATTCAGAGAATTGCTAACAAGGGCAAGTGCGCAACTGTAATGGGTGGGGAGGGGAGGGTGGTGGTAATTCCAATTCCTTGCTTGGCGGAGAAAGGCAACAAGTGACTTTCCTAATTATCTGATAAGCATCTCTCCAGAGCTGAGCTGGGCCCCACATGGTTATGTCCATCACCTTACTCAAGATTCTAAGGCAATGGAGGACCCACAAACAGCACCAGAGAGTTCAAGGCACTCTGCATGCCTTCTGACTTTTCCAAAATAAATAATCGGAAGCCATCATTTCTCAGAATGCCTCACAAACATTATTTAAATTTTAATTCTTCAATCCCTCTAAAAGAAGAAACAGGGCCGGGTGTGGTGGCTCCTGCCTATAACCTCACAGCACTTTAGGAGGCTGAGGTGGGAGGACCGCTTGAGCCCAGGAGTTCGAGACCAGCCTGGGCAATACAGTTAGACCTCATCTGTACAAAAAACACAAAAATTAGCTGAGTGTGGTTGCACGCACCTCCCAGCCACTTGGGAGGTTGAGGTGGGAGGATCGCTTGAGCCCGGGAGGTACAGGTGGCAGTGAGCAGAGATTGCGCCACTGCACTCCAGCCTGGGCGACAGACTGAGACCCTGTCTCAAAAATAAATATATAAAATTAGAAAAAAATAATAAAAGAAACAACTTATATACTTGGTTGTAGCTGCAAGGATTATCAGTTACCTCTGCCCATAACCCTTAAGTGAAGGGCTTGTCCAGGGGCCACTGATCTTGGATGACCTGGCAGGGGGAGCGGGACACTCCAGGTGTCTTAGTAGGGCCATTCCTAAAGTCTTAAAGTACGAGGGACTTCTGCACAGCACACACATATCGGGTTTGCATCTTCTCTGCAGTACGCGTAGTGTTTTATGCTGTAGCCTCAGAGATTTGGGTCTCTGCTTTTACAAAGTCATCCCCTAGAGATTACATGAGTACTTCAACAAGTACATCCAATTTCCTTTCATGCCCAAAGTCTGGGTTGTGGAGAATTCATGTGTCCTGCACTCCCTGGTTTCTTGGGGGAAGTTGCCACTGATGGCATATTTATTTTCCTTAGGAAAGCCAAGAAGAATGGGCCCAAAACCCACCGACTCACCAGACACAACGCCCCCAAGTGGTGGGCCATTAGTGCCGGGGCTTACCTGGGACGTCAATCAATCTTTTGTAGACATTCAAGAAAGCTGCTTCAGCTTCCTTGCTTCTTTTACTCAGTGCATCAATCTGAAAGGGAAGGAAAGAAAGAAAGAAAAACAAAGAGCTCAATATTTGTCAAGAGGTAATTTACAAAGCATTACACATCTAGTGAATTCCCGTAGCAGGGGGAAGTCTGATTCCTCCGCACAGATGCTTGACAACTGGGCTTCAACCTCTTAGAGGAAATGCCTGCAAACACAACAGTACCCTGTTCATGAAGGTAAACGAGGGAGAGGCAGAGATTTGAGAGTATGGAGCCATTCACTATACAGCAGGGAACACTGGGTGGATCTTCCATACAGAATGGTCTGGCACGCCCTTCCTGGTCTTTTTTCTTCTCCAAGTACTGACTTAAGAGCTGGCCATGTGCTAGACACTGCTGAGGATCAGAGGTGGGCAGGAAGAGACAGTTCCTATCCCCAGGAGCTCAGGGTCTAGGAGGGAGACAGGTATGTAATTAACAAGTAATTAAATCCCTGGGGACATGGAGAACAGACCTTCAGGCAGTAAAGTCGTGACCTTAGAGCAGAGTCTTTAAAAGCATTTCACCCAGGTGGACGGGTAAGACACTGCATGTAAATGCACAAACACATTCAAATCCCGGGAGCAAAGAATTTCATTAATTTTTTTTTTTTTTTTTTTTTTTGAGACAGAATCTTGCTCTGTTGCCCAGGCTGGAGTGCAGTGGCACGATCTCAGCTCACTGCAACTTTTGGCTTCCAGGTTCAAGCAATTCTCATGCCTCAGTCCCCTAAGTAGCTGGAATTATAGGTGCCCACCACCATGCCCAGCTAAGTTTTGTATTTTTAGTAAATATGAGGTTTCATCATGTTGGCCAGGCTAGTCTTCAACTCCTGACCTCAGGTGATCTGCCCGCCTCAGCCTCCCAAAGTGCTGGGATTACAGGCGTGAGCCACCGCATCCGGCCATCTGGCCTGTGTGTTCTGTTTTAAGACACTTATTTGCATGTCAACTTGTGCTCCATTCCAGATTGAGTCCACCAACACTGCTACAACACACCATGGGGCATAGGGGACCTGCAAGAGTCTGCCAGGTAGGAATGCGGATACATGTGCGGGAGCTGTGGGTGATGCAGGTGGACAAGCAAGTGGGGTGAGATTTTGAGGGGCACAAGGGTACATGGTGCAGGGAGACCCTCATCACCTGGGCAGTGGTCAGGGTGGAAAGAGCACAGGAGGGGGCAGGGAGGAAGAGACCCGTCGGACGTCACTGCCTTCATCCGAGTGAGATGCACTGGGCAGTGGTTGGGGGTGTTGGGGAGGAGAGGGCGGATGGAGAGATCAGCGACACACACAGTTGACGTGAGGCCCAGAAGAACAAGGTGAATCGAGGACGGTGCCCGGGATTCCAGATTAGGCAACTGGCGAGGTTTTGCGACAGTGGCCAGGATTGGTTTGTTTTGTGAACTGACTAGCTGAGCCAGTTTCCCCTAGTGTAGACGTCTGTTCATCAACTATGCTGGACGCATATGCAAAGAGCCTGCCATGGTTGGACCAACCTGGTAGAATATTCAGCTTACCTACACACTTGCTGAGACAACAGATTGCATTTTACAGCCGAAACATGCAAGATTGCACATGTACCAATGTCATACTGGCTCAGGCAAAGGACAGGAAATTATATATTCCGTCTGTCCCCTCCTAGAACTATGCTGTCTCCGATGTTATTACAGAGGCAAAGGATGTGGTTTAATTATAGGGCCTCTCACCTGAGCCACCGGGCAGTTTGTTAAGAGCTGAAAGAGGTCTCCTGATTAAGGATGTGGGGTGCTCAGAACTGGGGGATGATGGCTAGTGGGAGCTGGGCCTAGAAAACTGAACGCATAGCAGCCTAGTGCAATGCAAGCATTTCCACCTTCTAACAAGCTGTGCACCAAGATTCAAATTTGAAGTCAATTCTTTGGAACTCAGACACATTTCGACCCCCCTCAACCCGATAAGATAAGGCTGTGATTCTGGGCCAGGTGTGGTGGCTCACGCCTGTAATCACAGCACTTTGGGAGCCAGGGACAGGAACATGGCTTGAGCCCAGGAGTTCAAGACCAGCCTGGGCAAAATAATGAGATATCTACAAATTAAAATTTCAAAATTTGACAAAAAACATTAGCTGGGCAGGGTGGCAATGCACCTGTAATACCAGCTACTTGGGAGGCTGAGGTGGGAGGACTGCCTGAGCCTAGGAGTTTGAGGCTGCAGTAAGCTGTGTTCACACAACTGCACTCCAGCCTGGGCAACACAGTGAGACCCTGTCTCAAATAAAAACAAAAACAAAAAACAAGGTTGGGAATTTGGTGTTAAGCAGAGTTTCAGAACAATCTACAAGGACTTTTTGTTTGAGACGGAGGCTAGCTCTGTTGCCCAGGCTGGAGTGCAGTGGTGCAATCTCAGCTCACTGCAGCCTCCGCCTCCCGGGTTCAAACGATTCTCCTGCCTCAGCTTCCCAACTAGCTGAGACTACAGGAGTGCGCTACCACGCCCAGCTAATATTTTTTATATTTTTAGTGGAGACGGGGTTTCGTCATGTTGGCCAGGCTGGTCTTGAACTCCTGACCTCGGGGGTCAGGCGAGATTACAGATATGAGCCACCATGCCTTGCTTACAAGGACTATTAATATGACAAGACCGCCCTTTGTTTTTAAAATAACCCCCTTCCCCATTATTAGCAACTCATGCTTATTGTGTGATCAGAAAAATATCAAAAATATAGAAAAAAACTTAAAAGTATAATTAAAATCTGCCACTCACAGGCAGGAGTCAAACTGTCAAGTCTTTATTTCTAATATTTTTTTCTAATTATATTTAAAAAAAAAAAGGGTTTCAGTCAGGCACAGTGGCTCACGCCTGTAATCCCAGCACTTTGTGAGGCCAAGGTGGACGGATCACGTGGTCAAGAGTTTGAGACCAGGGTGGCCAAGGTGATGAAACTCCATCTCTACTAAAAATACAAAAATTAGTCGGACATGGTGGCGTGCACCTGTAATCCCAGCTACTCAGGAGGCTGAGGCAGGAGAATTGCTTCGCTCGTACCCAGGAGGTGGAGGTTGCAGTGAGCTGAGATGGCACCACTGCAGTCCAGTCTGGTAACAGAGCAAGACTCTACCTCAAAAAAAAAAAAAAAAAAAAGAAAAGAAAGAAAAAAAAAGAGTTACATGAAATGCAGACACACAGACAAACAAAAGAGAGACGTATTATATATAAGAGTGGTCTTGGACTGGGGGTGATGGGAAGGAGGGGCTGGTGGATGCCAACTGACCGGTGTGGGATTTCCTTCTGGGGTGATGAAAATGTTTTACAATTGTTTGTGGTGACAGCCGTACAACTTTGTGAATATCCTAAAAGTCAATGAACTCCAGACTTTAAATGGGTGAATTATATGGTATGTGAATTATATCTCAATCAAGCTGCTTAAAACGCACGTGTGTATGTACTTACTTGAAATCAGCCTATACGTAAGATTGTGCGTTGTGCTTTCTTTCCCTGTCGTATCATGTACCTTTCTCAATATCTATTACAAATTTTGGGAACTGTCTAAATGGCACTGTTTCAACTGTACCTAAGCCCGCATATTATAGATGCCTGGAGTAAGCAATGGATTTAGAGTTGCTTCTCCAGATGAATTGGAACACTCCCTGGGGCTCAGTTCTAGGAGAGGCAGGTGGGTAGCAGAGTCCGTCCAGAAAGCTGGGCAGATGCCCTGGCTGCTGTCCGTACCGCTGAACGGCCACACAGAGGCTTCTCTTTCTGGCTTAGGATCTGCCTAGGGAGGGCCCCTCACTTCCCAGGTATTCCAACTGAGGGTACCGGGTGGCTGCGTCTCCTGGAGGCAAGGGCTGGGATCTGGAAGGATCCTGAACTCTGTTCTCCGGTCTCCCATTTGGGTTATTCCCGGGGATGTGGGGTTTGGTAATTTACACGGCACACTTCGGGGCTGTAACGGGCTGAACTGTGTCTCTCGAAAGACGATGAAGTCCTGACTCCCAATACCTGTGAAGGTGACCTTATTTGGAGCTAGGGTCTCTGCCGGTGATCAAGGTAAGGCAAGGTCATTAGCCTGGGCCCTCGTCCAGTAGGATCCAATAAGGAGAAAGCTAGACACAGAGACAGACACGTAGACAGGTAGGATGTTACAGGGAGATGAAGGAGAGACTGGGTTGATGATCTATAAGAGGAAGATGACCAGGAAACCACCAGAAGCTGGAACAGGGCCACAGCAGATTCTCCCCTACAGCAAGCAGAAGGACCCAGCCCCATGGACACGGGGGTTTTAAAACCACTCCACTGACCCGGGAGCGGTGGCTCACACCTGTAATCCCAGCACTTTGGGAGGCCAAAGCGGGTGGATCACCTGAGGTCAGGAGTTCGAGACCAGCCTGGCCAACATGGTGAAACCCTATCTCTACTAAAAATACAAAAATTAGCCGGGCATGGTGGTAGGTGCCTGTAATGCCAGCTACTCAGGAGGCTGAGGCAGGAAAATCGCTTGAACCCAGGAGGCGGAGGTTGCAGTGAGCCGAGATCACGCCACTGCACTCCAGCCTGGTGACAGAGCGAGACTCCATCTCAGAACAAAACAAACAAACAAAAAACAACCACTCCATGTGTGTCCGTGTCGTTTTATCTAAACCAGCATAAAAACCAAAAACCCTAGTGTTCCTCCACTCATTGGAGCTGTATCACAGGGACCATGACTCTCAGTCCTCTCTGCGTGCCCTCCTCCACTAACACAGGGAAATTCCAGCCCAGTCCTGAGGAACACAGTCAGGCTGATGAGTTTAATTAATTCAGTATGCAAACAGACCATGAGGTTCCTTAAAACAGACTACTTAAAAGATCCTTTTCTAAACGATGAAGTCCCCTCAGCCGCATAGACAAGAATGGGCCTCAAGGCTGGGCGTGGTGGCTCATGCCTGTAATCCCAACAATTTAGGAAATGGAGGCAGGATTTCAAGACCAGCCTGGGCAGCAGAGTGAGACCCTCTCTCTACCAAAAATAAAAATGAGCTGGGC